GGACAGGGACAGGGGAGTGATGGGGACACGGGGACAGGGACATGGGGCACAGGGGAGTGATGGGGACAGGGACAGGGGACAGGGACATGGGGACAGGGACAGGGGAGTGATGGGCACAGGGACAGGGACAGGGGAGTGATGGGGACACGGGGACAGGGACATGGGGCACAGGGGAGTGATGGGGACAGGGACAGGGGACAGGGACATGGGGACAGGGACAGGGGAGTGATGGGCACAGGGACAGGGACAGGGGAGTGATGGGGACATGGGGCACAGGGACAGGGACATGGGGCTGATGGGGAGAGAGACACTGGGATGGGGACACGGGGACACTGGGGACACGGGAGTGATGGGGACAGGGGGACAGGGACATGGGGACAGGGACAGGGGAGTGATGGGCACAGGGACAGGGACAGGGGAGTGATGGGGACATGGGGCACAGGGACAGGGACATGGGGCTGATGGGGAGAGGGACACTGGGATGGGGACACGGGGATACTGGGGACACAGGGACAGGGACAGGGGACACGGGAGTGATGGGGACACGAGGACACTGGGGACAGGGGACTGCCCTGCTGGGGACACGGCAACAACCAGGACTGCCTGGTCCCCTGACAGGGACAGGGACAGGGGACACGGGAGTGATGGGGACGCGGGGATGGGGCTGATGGGGACACGGGGACACTGGGGACAGGGGACTGCCCTGCTGGGGACACGGCAACAACCAGGACTGCCTGGTCCCCTGACAGGGACAGGGACACAGGACTGCTGGGACTGGGGGACACTGGGGACACTGGGGACACGGGGCTGCTGGGGACACGGGGGTGGTTCGGTCCCCAGGTGTGATGCCCGACTCTGAGACACGTTTCCTGCTGCTGTCACCCCACTGTCCCCAGTGTCCCCGCTGTCCCCGCTGTCCCCAGTGTCCCTGCTGTCCCCACTGTCCCTGCTGTCACCCCGATGTCCCCAGTGTCCCTAACCTGTCCCTGACGTGTCCCCGTGTCCCCAGGGGTGATGCCGGACGCCGAGACGCGCTTCCTGCTGCTGGGGGTGTTCGGGCCGCGCAGCCGCCCCGTGCGGAAGCTGCAGCGACCCCAATGTCCCCAGTGCCCCTCCTGTCACCCCAATGTCCCCGCTGTCCCCAATGTCCCCGCTGTCCCCAGTGTCCCTGCTGTCCCCGCTGTCCCCAGTGTGTCCCCAGTGTCCCTAACCTGTCCCTGACGTGTCCCCCTGTCCCCAGGGGTGATGCCGGACGCCGAGACGCGCTTCCTGCTGCTGGGGGTGTTCGGGCCGCGCAGCCGCCCCGTGCGGAAGCTGCAGCGGATGCAGTTCTGGCTGCCGCGCCTGCGGCACCTGGACCCCCACCCGCTGCCCCCCCGGCTGCCCCCCGGGATGGCGGCGGCGCGGCTGGGGCTGCAGCGCATCGCCTGCGACCCCGGGGCCACCGTCACCGTGGTGCAGGTGGGGACACAGGGGACAGGGACAGGGACAGGGCTGGGGACATGGGGGGGACACAGGGACAGGGGACAGGGCTGGGGACACAGGAACAGGGCTGGGGACACGGGGGGGACACAGGGGACACAGAGGCTGGGGTTGCAGCGCATCGCCTGCGACCCCGCGGCCACCGTGACTGTGGTGCAGGTGGGGACACAGGGACAGGTACAGGGCTGGGGACACGGGGGGGACACAGGGACAGGGCTGGGGACACAGGGGACACAGGGGACAGGGGGACACAGGGGACAGGGGGCGGGTCCCGGGGGTCCTTGGGGGTCTCCTCCGTCCCGGGGCTGGGGGCGCTCAGCGGCCCCGGGGCGCGGCGGGAGCGGCGGGCGCTGTCCGCGGTGCTGGAGCGGCGCCGGGCGGTGTTGGGGCCTTCCTCCTGCTCTTCTGCTCCTCTTCCTCCTTCTCCTGGTCTTCCTCCCCCTCCTCTTCCTCCTCCCGTCCCTCTGCCCCCCCCGCCTCTCCTCGTTCTCCCGGGGGAGGAAGAACGGGAGAGAACTGAGGAGGAGGAGGGGGAGGAAGGCTGGGGAGGAGGAGGAGGAGGGCCGGGGAGGAAGGCCGGGGGTCCCAGCCCCATCCCCCTCTCCCCACAGCAAACCCTGGGAGCAGCTCCCGAAAAAACCCAAACGCAAGAAACGTGAGTGGGGGTCCCTGGGGGGCTGTACCCTGATTGGGGGGGGGGCTGTACCCAACCCTGGGGGGGCTGTGCCCCGATTGGGGGGGGCTGTACCCCAATTTGGGGGGCTGTACCCAACCCTGGGGGGGCTGTACCCCGATTTGGGGGCTGTACCAGGTCTGGGGGGGCTGTGCCCAACCCTGGGGGTGCTGCCCTTCATTTTGGGGGGTCTGTACCCCACTCCGGGGGTTTTACCCCTCACTCTGGGGGTCCCTGCCCCTCCCCTTGGGGTCCCTACCCCTCATTTGGGGTTCAGCCCCTCCCTTTGGGGGGTCCCTGCCCCTCCCTTTGGGGTTCTCTCCCTCTCTGGGGTTCAGCCCCTCCCTTTGGGGGTTGTCCCCCTCACTCTGGGGGGTTCTCCCTCTCACTGTGGTGGTCCCTACCCCTCCCTTTGGCAGTCCCTACCGCTCTTTGGGGTCCCTAGCCCTCTTTGGGGTCCCTACCCCTCACTCTGGGAGGTTCAGCCCCTCCCTTTGGGGGTCCCTCCCCCTAGGATGCGTACCCCTCACTTTGGGGGGGTCCCTGCCCCTCACTTTGGGGTTCTCTGCCTCCCTTTGGGAGTTGTCCCCCTCCCTTTGGGGTCCCTGCCCCTCTCCCGGTGGTTGTGCCCCTCACTCTGGGGGTTCAGTCCCTCCCTTTGGGGTCCCTGCCCCTCACCCTGGGGCTCCGTGCCCCTCACCCTGGTGGTCGGTGCCCCTCACTTTGGGGGTTCAGCCTCTCCCTTTGGGGTCCCTGCCCCTCACCCTGGGGCTCCGTGCCCCTCACTTTGGGGGTTCCGTGCCCCTCCCTTTGGGGTCCCTGCCCCTCCCTTTGGGCTCCATGCCCCTCACCCTGGTGGTCCGTGCCCCTCACTCTGGGACGTTCAGCCCCTCACTTTGGGCGCTCCGTGCCCCTCACCCTGGTGGTCGGTGCCCCTCACTTTGGGGTCCCTGCCCCTCCCTTTGGGCTCCATGCCCCTCACCCTGGTGGTCCGTGCCCCTCACTCTGGGACGTTCAGCCCCTCACTTTGGGCGCTCCGTGCCCCTCACCCTGGTGGTCGGTGCCCCTCCCTTTGGGGTCCCTGCCCCTCCCTTTGGGCTCCCTGCCCCTCTCCCGGTGGTCCCTGCCCCTCCCTTTGGGGTCCCTGCCCCTCCCTTTGGGGGGGTCCCTGCCCCTCACCCTGGTGGTCCCTGCCCCTCACTTTGGGGTTCAGCCCCTCACTTTGGGGGTTCAGCCTCTCACTTTGGGCGCTCCGTGCCCCTCACCCTGGTGGTCGGTGCCCCTCCCTTTGGGGTCCCTGCCCCTCCCTTTGGGGGGGTCCCTGCCCCTCACCCTGGTGGTCCCTGCCCCTCACTTTGGGGTTCAGCCCCTCACTTTGGGGGTTCAGCCTCTCACTTTGGGCGCTCCGTGCCCCTCACCCTGGTGGTCGGTGCCCCTCCCTTTGGGGTCCCTGCCCCTCCCTCTGGGGCTCCGTGCCCCTCACCCTGGTGGTCGGTGCCCCTCACTCTGGGGGTTCAGCCCCTCCCTTTGGGGTCCGTGCCCCTCACCCCGGTGGTCGGTGCCCCTCACGCCGGCTCCGGGGCAGGGCGCCGGCGGAACGTGAACTGCCTGCGGCACGCGGTGCTGTGGTACGAGGACCACGGGCAGCGCTGCCCGTACGAGCCGCGCCTGGCGGAGCTGGAGCCCGCGCTGGGGCTGCCGTGCGCGGCCGTGTGGCAGTGCGAGCGCGGCCACCGCTACTTCCAGGACCTGCAGCCGCCGCCGCGCCCGCGCCGCGCCTCCGACGGCGACGACGGTGGGACGCGGGGGCATTGGGGGCTGGGGGCTGGGGTGCGGGGTGTTTGGGGTGTGGGG